AAAAAAAAAGGAAGATGCACGAACATTTCATGTTTATGATGGGTCCAGGGAATGATCGTTCCTAGGAGAGGGGTGTATCATTATATGCGAAGTTTGAATTAAATTCATAATTTTTGACGTTGAAGCTAGTATAAATTTATATGTACAAGCTTACTAAAATTGCAATATAGTATAATGAACAAATAGTTTTTAAAATTTAATGAATTTAATAATAATTAAATCTAACAGGTTGAATTTATATAGATTCACATTAGTTGTTCACACCTCAAGAGGTGTGATGTGGATATCTGACCCTAATATATACAATTATTAGTGAATATTTCTACAACTCAAGAGTCAAGACAAGATCATAATAGTCGATTGAGTCGATGTCAACTATACGAAGATGTGTGTGAAATTTCCGAGGTCGCTCTATTGGGGCGAATAACCCAAGACTCATACCTCCATATATCAAGTCTTGATCTTGATCACCTCTTAATGATATTTTACTTATGTAAAAGGAATATTATAAAAAAAAAAAAAATAGTCAGAAAAAAAATTGTACAAAAAAAGCACTAAGGTGGGCAATCAAGAAAAAGGGGCTGTCCATTTTACTGTTAAAGAATAAAGTTAAACAGTAAATTATTCATCAGAAATTGAGGTAATAATAAAGTGAAAAAAAGTGAAGAAAAAAAAAGGACACTACTTTTTACAGATTAAAGATTATGAATATTTTTTTCCCTTAAAAAAAGAAAAAGAAAAAGATAGTTTTAGTGGCCACTATTATCCACTTTTTTTCTTTTTATTTTTTTAATTGTCTTTTTCTTTTCACAATCAGACAATAAGCTGGCAATTCAGAAGAATGTTTTGTGGATAGGAGTTTGGTTAGAGGTAAAAGAACCTTTGTAGGTTTTGGTTGGTGAAAACTTTTAACTTGTTACTAGTTGAGTTTAACTTTTATGAATATTTGATACCAAAATAACTTTATATTATTTAATATTATTAATAATTAAAAAGATAAAATCACAAATAAGTAATTAATAGTGAATTTTTTAAATGATGGTATCCCTCTCCTATCAGCTTCTGAAAAGATGAAATTAGTAACATGACACTAAATTACCTCTTAGATTATTTTTTTCTTGATAATTTGTTAGGGAGATTTTTTTTATTGTTTAGAAATAGAAGTTAAACATGGCTTAATATTTATTATTTTTGTAATGAACATATGTTGGTTAAAATCTATTCACTAAGACTCGAACAAATAATAAAATTTATTATTTTTTGAGATCTGATTATTCAATCTCATGATTCTTCTCTAACTTTTATTAATCAATAAGCTATATTGTTAAAATAATTAGTTATTCCAACTAGCTTATTACAATTATATTCAAAATACATATGTAAATAATATAATGTTACTAGTTGTGTTTTGGTTTAGTTGGGGCTTTGGGTTAGGTTTGGGGGGGGGGGGGGGGTGACCTGATATGTTGGTTAGGAAAAGCTGATTTCTATTCTTTTTCTTTTCTTAATTCCAAGAAGGAATATGGAGTATATTTTTATTATATGCATGCTTTTACTTTTCTTGAATTTTTGACCATGTTATATTCCCTAGTAAGTAGTAACCAACTAGAGTAAGAGATGGCCATAGAACATAGGTATTGTAAAAAGCAAAGTGAAAATTTTCCCCTTCTCCAACACATTATAATACATAGTACTTAATATATAATGGCATAGTCAAAATTTTTAACGATGGATTTTAAAATATTAAAAAGTAAATATTCATCAAAGTCCAAGTGATTCAATATACATTATAAATACATGTAAAAGTAATTTTGACTTTGCATGTATAGTGTATTTCAGTGAAAAATGTACGATCAATCTGATTAATTCAAATTTACATTAAATATAACTTATTAAAAGGAAAAACTCACTCTATCATGATTTCCTCTATTCTAAAAGCACAAATCCAAAGTTCCATTCAAGGATAAAAGGATGTTATCTATTTCACCACAAGCTAAAACAAAATAGAGTATTAAAAACCTAATATTAATCGATAAAACTATAGGTAAAACATTTCAAGGTAAGTTGCGAGGCATCAACAAAATGTTGTTGTTTATAAAGCCTCTTATTAGCTTTACGGGAGCGGGGGACAAGTAATAACAACACCGACTCTATAAAGTGAGAATCAAATCAACTAAATTAACAGATATTAAGAAGTTATTGAATTGAGAAAGTGCATAAAACATAATGTAAAGTTGTAAATACATATTATACAAATTATTCTTGGATAGTGACTGAGCTAGCTAGCTCTGACCCTAAAAGAATCCCATAGTTTGTATAGTTCGTACCAAGTTGAAAGCATGCATGATTTATGTGTAAATATTTGTACCCAAAAAATACTATGAATGTGATAATTTTTGGCAGAATACGAAATTAAAGAAATAAAAGAAAGACTTTCAAAATTTGTACATTAAAAAAAATATCACATAAATTAAGATGAAAATTTTCGTTGACGTCTTAATTTAAGAATAGTAGTGGCTATTATAATTTTTTTTGAAACTTTAAGGGTTAAAACATGTCATATCCTAATTTTTGATGATATTAAAACCTCTCATCGAATAAAATTGTATGAGTTAATCTTCTTTCCAACTTTAAAATCATGTCAAAATAAATTAACAAAAAATATTGTCACATAAATTAGAACAAACGATCAGTATTAACAATTTCTTTTAGAAATAAATCTAAATAAGTGTATCATAAACTCAATCTACTTCTATTATTTTAAACTTCAACTTAAAAGAGAGAATTTAAAGTTTAAAAATTTGTCTTTTTTTTTCTTTCTGTTTTTGTTTCTTGTGTTAAGAGGTCAGAATCCAACATGTGACCCTACAATAATTTTCTACAAATAGAAGTAATCATCATTTTCTAAGACAAATTTGTGCAAACAAAAGAATGTCCTTCCAAACACTGTAAAATGTATAAAAGAGACAGGCCAGAATAAAATCTGATCAGTAATACATTAATTAGTTGTTCAAAAAACTAGGACATGAATGCAAAACCTAACATCTAAAAAAAGGATACAAACATTAAATTAAATTAGTATCACACAAGATATATATACATGTATACCTTATATAATACAGTAATTTTAAAATAGAATGATATAAAGACCAAAAAGAATAGGATATAAGATGAGAAAGTATGAAACCGATTCATTGTTAGTTTTATTATAATTAATCACATGCATACTATATATGTTATTTTTCTTTTCTTCTTCATTATGTCCGGTATATTAGTTTCGCTTTTAAATTTATTTTCCATATTTTGTTTTATTATGTTTTGTTTAAGTAAAAGGTCTATGAAATACATTAATCTTTACTTTCACTATCCGTAAGGTTACCTATGCATTATAGTATTCTTACCCCAATGGTGAGATTTTAGTGTTAGCAGAGATTGCTCTAAGAGTGAAAGTTGTAAAACCTTTGTTCAAGGACCGCAAATTCTTAAGCCTCAAGATTTTCATCGTAAGTTTTGTGATTTTATTTATTGGATATTGTTTTTAATAAGGTATAAAATTTATATAAAAAGGAAGAAAAATAAAGTATATTTTAATAGAAATAATTTAGTATTTTGAATTAAACTACTCAAATCTTCGTAATAATAAATAATGCTTTTATAAATATATCCAAAGTAATATATTGAAAACACTTTAAGGTATTATTAAGATGTTTTGGTTGTTCATTGTTGTTATATATATGATTTTATTATTATTATTATTATATTTAATTATAATAATGGAAAAAAATCCTTATAAATTCAAGAAAACTGCCTAGTAAAGAATACTTATGTTATTTGTTATTAATGAAGCAACTTAATATTATATATTCAAAACTTATAATTTGGATATGTTATGAGAACAGATAGAAAACTACAAATTTCAACAATAAGTTTTCATATTTCAAATTTAATTTCAAAACATTCAATTGAAACAAAGAAAAAAATTAACAAATCCAAATGCATATTCTTGTTTTTTTTGTTTATGTAATCTCGTGAATATGAGTCTCTCCCATGAGTCACACAAATGACCCTAATTACAGAACCCATACCAAAAAATACCTCTCACTTAACAAGAACTAAAACCCTAAAACAAAAAAGATATCACAAACAATTTAAATTAAATAAAAAATAATTTATAACAACATTACAACCTTCTAATAAAACGTAATTTCACTTATTTTAATTTACCATTTTTTCTAACTTCATCAACAAAATATATCATTATAACAAATATTTATATATTTTAAGTTCATATAACTATAATTCTATAAACTCATTGCAAAATAGAACGAAAGTTTTTTTTTTATTTTCATTTATTTGCAAAAGATCCTTAAAAAAGTAAGTATACATTTTATAAAAAGTATAATTCTCTAGGTGATAGAAACAAGAACATGTAACATAGATTTGTGGTTATTAAAATTTGATGTTATCTTTTAATATGCATTTTACTACTAAGAAGTGAATGACTGTGAAAGAAAGTGTAAATTTATTCGGAAGAAAATTTTCAAAATCTGATGATCCAAAATCTCTGGTGAAATATGCTTAATTTAATTACTAGCTTACTACTTTCATTAATCCATCTACTAATATCAAAGTTTCTTGTAGAATAATAACTACAAGAAAATCCAAACATTAAAATTTAATGAAAGGAAAATCAAAAATTCACTAAACATGACATATAGCAAATGAAAAAAAGAAACAAACTTATTTTAAAAATAAATAAATTAAAAGCACATATATAGGAAGCAAATTAAGAAACCCTAGTTATATAATCAATTATCATGATGTAAATTTAGAGAGTAGAAAGGATGGATTAATTTTTTAAAAATACCTCTTGCAACTGAGAATGAAGAATTCTTCATCAATCACCATAACCTGGTTTAGATCTCAACAGAAACAAATTAAATTAATAGAAAGAAAGAAAAAAAGAAGGTAACTTTATATGACGAGATGGTTACATATTTCAACATCATATACACGATATCGGAATATGCTTGGCTCCTCATACGCCATTCAACAAGGCCCATCGATATATTACGGTGAGCTTTGCAAATGGCATACAGGGAGCCAGGCATATACGTGTACACGACTTGTATCAGTACATATATACACACTCATATGTATATATAAAATTTTTAGCTCTTTAAATTCATAATCTGCCCATGATCATATATATATTTTTTCAAAAATTAAGAAGATGGAGAAATATGAATTGAGAAGAGGAGAATAATGGTTTATCTAGTGAAAATAAAAATGAAATAAGAAATATAAATAAATGATCAAATTAGGGTCCTAATCAAATGGATCTTCAAACTCCACAATTTTTTTAAAAACTATAATTGTGTATGCAAGCATAAAACCATAAAAATAAAAATAAAAACTATAATTATGTATACAACCATAAAACCAACTAGATTCTTTTACTCATTTTTGTGTATCTAGTCACAAAAAAAAAAAAAAATGTATTATCAACCCTTTTATAAAGGCACAAAACAAGCATAGCCTTGAGAAATTAAAATTTACAAGAAATAAGAAAAGAGATTTCATCTCTTGTGTTTTTTTTTTTTTTTTGCTTTTATGTTCTTTGGGAGAGATAGAAGGAATTTTTGTAAGCTTGTTCTTCACCTAGTAGATATATAGAGACATATAAAGAGGGGAAAATGGCCAAGTTCCTTTTGGTGGGGTAGGGTGGGGTGGGGTGGGGGGAGGGTTTAAATTTCATTTATATAATAATGACATCAAAAATATTTATATAGTCAAGTCATTTTTAAAAATAGTTAAACAATATACTCATATTATTTCAATTTATTTGATAGTGTTTGACTAGATACAGAATTTAAGAAAAAAAATTAAATTTGTGGCTCAAAATAAGTCACAGACTTCTGAGTGACCAAAAATCATCTTATTAAAGGAAATAATTTTTTGTTAACAAACTAAAAAGGAAAGTATATATTATTAAATAAGTTACACTTGTTATGATATTGAGGTCGAGTTTAAATCTCATTTATATAATAAAATAATGATGTCAACAAGATTTTTATACAGTCAAATCACTTTAAAAAATATTCAAAGAAAATACTTGTGCGGTTTCAATTTATTTGGTAATATTTAATCAGATACTGAGTTTTATAAAAAAAAACTTATGATTTAAAATAAAATCATACATTTTTGTGTCTAAAAATCTTTTTTTTGAAGAATTATAACTTGTTTCAAACAATTTTTTTTTAAAAAAGAGAGTATGTCACTCAATTAGTTACACTTGTTATATAACATGTTAAACAACACTAATAATTTTAAAACGTTTATATACTAATAATATATATGACTTATATCCGTACAAGAATGGGTTATATGTTTTTCATCCCTAAGCTATCTCTAGTTGTGTTTTGAGGTAAATTTAAGATCTAAAGTTATGAAATTGTATAATAATCTAACATAAAATTACAATAAAAATTCTAAGTATCCATAAATTAACTAATTATAACATGTTATTGTTCTGATCATATTACCATATGATAAGTCGATTCACTATCTTATTTTCAATAATATAAATCTCTTATATATTTCTTGTGTGATCAAATAATGATCGTACTACTTTTAATACTAACAATGTATATAATATAAACTCGAAAAATATCTTTCTCTCTTTCTCTCTCTTTCACTTTCCTTTTTTCTGGTCTCAAAGCAATGGTTGCTTTTCTACTCTGAAACTACTTTGTCTGCATGTGTTTGGAACAATATGGATTCCTCTCAACTTTCCTAATTTTTTTTTTCCTACTTTCTTTAAATAAACAATAAAGTTAAAAACAGAAAAAAAAATGAAAAAAAAAATTAGAACATTACCCATAATTTATCTTCTCTGTTTTATTCTGCCCCCCCTACTCCTATTTCATTCTTTTTATCTTCTGTTCTTTTTTGTATTTTATCAGTTTTACAACTAATCTAACCAATTATCAATATACTTTTATATACCTTAATTCTTGATATATCAACCGTTTAAATTATATGCATTGTCAATTTAAAATCCCCCCTTCATCAGATCATCTTTACTTGTTATATAGACGGTAATTTGATAATATTTATAAATTACACATTTTAATACGACTTGTTTGCAGATATCTTTTGAATAATTTTATAGTCTTTTAAAAAATACACTATTGATGAATATATCATATTTTAATTCGCGATTTATAAAAATTGATTATGAATTTTAAATTTTAAATTTGTTTATAAATTAATGACATATTTAAATTAAAGTCTTACATAAAAAAAATAGTAGGAAGGAGAGAGGAGGAGTTGGCCATTAGCAATCTGCTTAATGAAATATTTCGAATTTAAATATATATTAGGTATATATAGAGTTACTTTTAGTAGCAATTACGCGCTTTTATCTCCTGTAAAATGGGATTTTTTAATAAAAAATTGAAATAGTCTGATTCCAAAAAAAAAACAGATCGAAAATAAAAACCAACCACAAAAGAAAAGGAGAACAGTTTAGCAAGATGTAAAATATAGTCTAATTAATTTAGTACCATATACTATTTAACAATAAGGTTTTGTTGTTATATATATAATTCAAGAATTAGGTTAAATTAGATAGCAAATTAAAGGTGACATTGCCAAGAAAGTGCATGGCAAGTGAGGAAGAAAATTTGCAATCATACTCTTAACTTTATTTGAATTTTTTTTTCTTTGAATGGTCAATATCTTATGAGAATCTTTTGCTGGCTATACAAGTTCACCAATAAAACTCTAGAGTTGACATCAATAAAACAAGCTAGTCAGGTTTATATGTGTGTGAACAGTTTTTGTCTATATTATGTTAGACCTTAGTGTGTATAAATATATTAACCTCTTACCAAATACGATCGTTTAAGGTATGGTAAATATTTCTTTATCTTTATCGTTATTCATAGATTTCGTGTTTAAGTTCCTAATATAAGATTATTGACATTAAGGAGTAAAATTTTTTACACTAATTTAAATCTAGTCGAACCTTAAAAACTTTCTTACCAACATTTTTTAGTATATAGTATTATTAGTATAGTTTGAACCATAAGAGAGTAGAAGGTATCCTATTACTTTTGAAAGCCATTTTCTTTACCAAGTCCTTGATGAATATATTATTTTTATTAAATTAGTGATTAATGCTTATTGTAAAAATTTATATATGTTAGTAAGCTTATAAGTGAATTGATTTTAGTATAAATAATTGGAACTCTTTTATTTAAACTTTTCCCTAGACCCTCCTCCCTTACCTCCACTCGCCAACGATAATCTCGTTCTGGATCTGACCCTGATACTCAATTTTTTTTTTAGTAAGATTTTTTTTTATTTTCTATACAAATTAGGGTTTTAACGCGATTTCTAATTTATCTTACCCGAATATTAATACTAGACATGAAACAAATTTTTTACTAAAATATTAATCATAAATTTGAAAAGGACATCATGATTGTGTTTTGTGTGTGAGAGAGAGACATTTTTACATATAGATATGAAAGCTATAGCCTATGATTCTTGGTCAAATTAGGGCTAGGACATCATCATGCTTCATGTGCCTAAGAAATAAACCTATGAAATAATTAAATTTTTTTTGCAAAAAGAAAGTAGCTGTATTTCTTGTCCAAATATTTACCTAAATTGTCTTAAGGTTCCATTTGTATGCAAGTATATAGTCTGAAACTCATGATGATGTATTATTCTCAATTTCTCATACACACAGAGTTATAAAATAATAAAATATTAAGAAAAAATTATTAAATGAAGTTTGAAAAGAAATATATATGTCGATTTTATTCTTTATCTATGTGGAATTCATGAAAAGTTGTATTATTGGGACCCTCAAGATGTATTTACTTTTAATATTCGTGTGTATATAGTTAATATAAGTTCCAAATATCCTATTCATATCTTAAAGTATTTAGTTTTTATGAGATCTTTATAAAAATAATCGCTGAAAAATTTTATTACTTTTTTCTGATCAAATTATATATAGTTATATATATTTTATTGTTATTTTTAATCTAAGTGATTGGATGGGAGCTTAATTTAGATTAATTTTATCAATTTAAAATTTTATCGGCTATTTTTAGTCTAAGTGATTGGATGGCACTTAATTTTGATTCGTTAATTTATCGGGCTTAAGCCAAGTCGATCGGGTGGAGCAACCTTCCACACAAGTGTGGCACAAGATGCGCTGGTATTGCAAAAGCAGGAATGAGTTCACAACATTTGAATAAGCTACTCGATCGATCCCGAATCCATTCCAATAAGGCATTCATTCCCTTCATGTAAAGGAAGAGTAGAACAAAAGAAATCTCTGTGACACTGATTGTTCTTTCTACCTAAACTCGCGGCTTTTTTCATCAAAGATGGGTGTGAGCTAATTTTCTCGCTAAACCCCTTTTCTTATTGAAGAGCCCAATCATAGTCGAAAGCGTAAAAGAGAGGATTTGCAAGAAAAAGTCGAATAGATTGACATACGAGCAAAAGTCTTGAAAGAGTGAGCGCAATAAAGGATATTTTTTAATAAAGAAGTCGATTTTCAAACACACTTAAGACCGTTCTTGATCCCCCACTTCACTTCTATCCCATTCCTTTTGACTCGCAATCAGAATAGTTGTACAATCGAATAGTTGAGTTAGAAGGCGAATAATGGTCGAACTATCAAAGAGATCCGCTAACAAGATTAGGAGTTATAACATTCATAAATGGAAGAAAGAAACAATATAAGAACTTCAACTAAGAAAGAAGAAGAACAAAAAGAATTGCTTAAGTAAGGTAGTTACCAGGGTACGATCAGTTCACACGGAGGATCGCCCTCTCGGTTCGAAGTTTTTCCTGGAAGTTTCAATCTTGTTGACCATGGCAACAGTCGGGATTATCGCCTCATACTCTATCCTCTCTCCCTTTTTCTCTTTCTTATTTCTCGACGTATCTACATTTCAAAATGTATTTTGGTATCAAAGATACATACATATATCAAAAGATATACGTTGACTCTCTCGCTTGACTCTTCTTTTTTTTTTCTCTCATTAGACTCTCTCCCATGTATATATATTTTAAAATGTATCTGGTATCTAATATCATT